TCACATCTATCAGTATATTTGCTGATGGGAAGTGAGTCAGAAGCCTCCAACAGTAAAACGCTCCAAACCATGGATGTGGTGAAAAGGGATCACTCGGAGTGGATTAAGTTTTTTTTTAATCGTCCAATAAAAATAGCCTAGAGTGAAACTCACTTGGCAATTCAGTAATAATATGTGCTTGTATTGTGACTTTGGAAGCGAGGTCCCTAGCTATATGGTGCATGGGTTCTACATGTATATTTTCTGAAGAGCATACCTAGAACAAACATACTAACAAATGAGAGGTATACTTCCATATACTTAATAGATCTCAACAATCTACCCTCTAACTGTGAGTGATCTGATCCCACAAAATGAGTCCTAAAGGTCATTTTTCCTGTACGTGTAGGTTAGTCCATAATTCGCATTAGAAAGAGCACAATGAGCTCTTTGTTTTGATGTATGAGTCAGTTTGGCATCCTGATAAAAATGAACATTATTTGGATAGAAAACACTGAAGCCTGCTGTTGACTTAAACCATGCAAGATTTTTTTTAAAGGATGTTTAACCCGTAAGTGGATCTGGTGACTTGAGGAACATTTCCTTAGATCAGGCCCCACGTGAAACCTGTGTAAATACACGAGCCACACATACCTGAGAGCATCAGGCCTCGCTCCCCGACCACCGTGTCAAACTTATCAGGGAATGCCTGGATGAAACCCAGGGCATTGGCCGTCCGAGCTGCAGCCACCAGCTCCTCCGACGTGACCGATTCTGGGTCGTTGGCACCGTAGGCAATGTTTTCCCCGATGGTCGTTGAGAACAATATTGGTTCCTGCAGTCCACATGCACATACATGAAAAAAAAATAAATAAATTACAAGAATTACACATGCATGCACATTAGCTAATCATAAAAAACTGAAAATTGTACACCTTTGTTTTACGGGGAGGGAGGGGACCAATATTGTTTTGGAACATTTTTCTTTATGTAAACTTTTGAGGCCTTTTTGAGGGGTGAGGCTAACCTTGGGGGCTTTTTATACGGTTGTCAAAGGAATAGGGAATAGCCCCCGAAAACTGTTTTTCTCTCATTAAAAAAAACCAAAGAACAAAATGGCTGGGGGCATGGTCCCTAGCTATTGGGCTCCCTCCCTGATCCACCAGTGCACATGCACTTGGACTCTACTCTCACTTCATGAGAACTTCAGGAGCCCATTTAAAAAAGCCACACAGCTAATATAGGAGGCTCATTTTTCATGGGATTTAAATACCCACACTCTCCTCTGTTTATTCCAAAGACAACCCATCTGAAGACCAATCAGAATTTTTCCCTCAACTGCCCAATAAAATAAAACAAGGACTCAGAGAGTATGTCCAAGTGTTTGTATTATGTTCAACCTTTAACCCAAACCCAGCCCATTTTCAAACTCCTCACAGCTGAGAGGGCAGACTCATTCTCAACATTAGATTGTGAGGAGTGCCATGACACTCAGACAGTCAACGTTAAATTGAGGGTACCCAGTTCCATTTTGGGGTGACTCCAAATTCTCTTCGGATAATTTCAAAGACAACCCTTCTAAATACATACCGCAACTTTTCAATATCAGCTACTCCATACATGAAAAATATAGTCCTGTGAAGAAACATGTACGTGTACCTGACTGACTGTTCCTATCTGACATCGTAGCCATTCTGGGCTCAGCGTTGAAATGTCTGTACTGTCCAGCAAAATCTGACCTGCACAACACACACAAGGCAGGGGAGGACAGGTTCATTTTCAGGAAAACAGAGAAACAACTAGCTTGCAGAATGGTTTTTTTAAACCTGTTGGACAGCGCTGATATTAAATGTAACCAGGGGAAAATCTGTGCCCCGAGTCAATATAAAGACATAACAGAGCCACTCAAAAGCAGGGAACATTTGCATTTTGTTGGACCATTCTCTCTGGGATGCTGGTGTTCCATCGGAACATTTACACGCCAGCGCAAAAGGTTCACTTTGTGCACAGAAAATGCTGTGCCCCCGGTGGGACGGCTGTCTGTTTCAGAATGAGATCCCAGCATTCCAAAAAAAACCATTCCGACCATTCCAAATTAAGAGGTGCTCCCTAATGGGTCAGCTAATTTGGGTCGAAATTTGGTCTGTACATAAACCAATGCAAACACGCAACAAGTGAGCAACGCCATACCTTGGTCTGCATCGTAGTATCGCAGCAGCAGGGACCCGAGAGTGGACTTTCCTGATCCGCTCGACCCGACGACGGCAGTGACGGAGCCAGCAGGCACAGAAAGACTCAAATCCTTAAAGATTGGTTGGTCAGTCCTCAGTGGGTAGGCAAAATAGATATTCTTGAAATCGATGTGCCCTTGGAGCGCCGAACTACTGGGGACAAGACCATCTGTTGACAGAGGTGGACAGTTTGTTGGGGTTTCAGCTTACAATGGACTGTGTCTCAGGTTGATTTCAGGAAAAGTATGATCGACTGAAACATAAATGACCAAGGCCTGTGCTGGCAGCTAGAAACACCACTTACTGTCATGATGTTTCCTATTTAGACTTTATTCATGACATGGCATTTTTTCATCATGTTCCCTGATTCTACTTCATTACAACACTCAAAAATGGGGGAGAACCTGACTACTTTGCTGTACAGCCTCACTTTGAAGCATTTGAACAGACGAGGAGAAAGGTCTTTTTACTCAAGGACAGTCATCTACATGTATAATTCATCCCTAGTTTATCATCAATGTTCCAACTTTTTATAGTATGTTTTAAGAAACATTTACAGGGATTGCCTCCCTTTCAATTCCAGATGGCTGGCCTGTGAAGGAGGCCAAGGCTGTGGAAGTCCATTTTTATTACACCAAAAGGTTTGTTGCGCAGTACTACGAGCACCGTGTTTGTAATGTAGTCCCAAACCTTTGTGACACCAAGGTCAATATTGCAAACATATTAATCTGATGGATGAGTGGGAGGATAGGTAGAGTTTGTTTGAACACTCTCCCTCTACACAAGGACCGGGAGTTGGATTTGGCAAGTCTTGCTGTGGTCATCTGAAACTGCCCTGGCTTTTGTCTCGGAGTGGTGACTCAAAGTCAGCAACCTCTGACATCCTTACCTGAGAGAGGAATGGCTGGCTTCCTGTCCAAGATCTCCCAGAGCCGCGTGCTTGCCCCAAGACCCTTCATCAGCTCCGAATAGAAAGAACTGATGCCTAACCCACCCAACAACAACAAAAAAAAAAAACAAATATGATGCTGTACAAGAAAATATTGATGAGTTAGGCTTTAGTTTAAGAAATAAATCAATTTGCAGAAATGCAGTCTGTCAGTCAGACATCCCTTTCAATTCTTATACAACGGTACTGACTGTCAAAGCTTAGAAGGGCAAAGTTGTGTGCCCTCTGGAATATTTTTAAATATAGTTTTTGTTGCACATTAATATTTCAGCAAGAAAAAGTAGTAGGTTGTAAGGAATAGATACTTTGCAGTATTAGCCGAGAGAAACAAAAAAACAAGAAACAGGCCATAAATGTTAGTTTGAAAAGAGTGCTAAGTTAAAGTTCAAACAAGATCTGCCCGATGTTTTACTTTAAAGCATAATAATGTACAGATGAGAATTTTCTATGGGATTATCTGGCTCAGTACATTATCTGTGTATGTTGATGGTTCTCTACCTCCAACGGATATACCGACGTAGGCAGCGTAGAGCAGAAATGAGGAAAGGCTGCCCACAGTGATCTGAGCATCGCTCATCATGGTGCCGCCATTATACAACACGGCTAGGATGATCAAATTGCTGGACAGGCCCATCTGTCAGAGAGGTCACAAGTCAAAGGTGAACAACATTAAAACCCAGCGTATCTTTCCTCAATACGGAAACGTGTCCGTAAGTATTTCACTGACTGTTTAATCTCCACTAAAGACGAACTGGCACATTTTATTTGTGATGTCTAAAGGTTGCTAAGGAGCATCTTGGGTAAAGATAAAAATTTGATTTCCCCCCTTTTGTTTTAAAGTTTGGAACAGGTTTCCATTTGGGTACATGGGTTTCCATTTGGGTACCTGGTTTCCATTTGGGTACATGGGTTTCCATTTGGGTACCTGGTTTCCATTTGGGTACATGGGTTTCCATTTGGGTACCTGGGTTCCTACGTGCAATTTTACAGGTTAGCTGGTTCCTGCACCACTTGTAAATGTACGTCTGAACTGCAGGCCAAAGTAATGTCCAATTTTGTCTCAGATACATAAAACTCATGTTCATATATTAAGCAAAAATGACAAAGCGAACACAAATTCAAGTTTGTCAAATCCAATCAATTATTCCCGCTGCTAATTTTCAAAATACAAACACATTGTAGCTCAAATGAATTCCGCTGCATGCAAAGTTTGCTTTGCTTGCACATGTGCCTGAAGTCCGAACCAGCCTTTAGGACAGATCCGGAAGTACAAATCAAAGTGCCCTGGGTTCTGGCAAACCGATGTAAGTCCATGGGCTTACCACTGCGTAGAATGCTCCCCACAGAAAGGACTCTTTGGTGGCCAGATCCAGCACGTGTTGAACAGCGTCGGAGTAAGCCCGTTTCTCTCGATTCTCTTGAGCGAAGGCCCGCACTGTGCGAATGCTGCTGATCTTTTCTTCAGCAACCTGACAATGTACAGGATACGCATTGAGACTGTGTTATATTGGAAATATTGCTTCAATTTCACAGCACTGTTCAAGGGTTGGTGACAAAAACTACAGCAGGATGATTTTGTTTAAGTAATGTGCAGCACAGGCATGCTGGCCTGGAGATTTCTACTGTTGCAGCACTATTTCAAAATATTCTGTTTGGAATGTTGGCATCGACTGCATGCAGGCTCTGTGGACAGCAAAATGCATGTGCCACAGTACCACATCACATTTTGCTGTGTTATACCTCTGTCTTTACTATGTTGAGGAAGTTGTCCAAAGAAGCGAGCTCTGAATTTCAGAAGCTCACAAATCGTCACAAATCCATACTCTACAACATTCGGAGATACATGTAGCACTGGCAATAAAAGCAATGTCGATTTCACAGTCAATGTTTCCTGCACAATGCACCAATATCCGATTGGTGATTTCCTCATCCTTACATAGCTGTTCAAAGGACAAACGTACATGGGAGCTGCCAGGATTTTTTCCAGGGAGGCAAGGAATCCATCGGTGGCAAGCTGACAAACCGTTAGTGGTGGGAGGGGGGCTCTATTCTGAGATACACTACTCAAAAAAAGTTAAGGACCACTTTTTCTTAACTTGTAATTTTTTTCTGAAAATCTAGTTCTTTCACTTTTTGTTAGTCTAGATGGTATTCTCATTGGATTAAAAAACTAAAAAATTCTTCAAAACATTAAATGCACATTTTCATGATGAGAACTTGGGCAATCTCAAAATGGACAGTTTCAGAGAAAAGTCAAATGACAATTTTTTGAAAATTTTCAGACTGAATGTCTTTCAATTGGCTCAATAGCGAGTATGGCCTCCTCTAGCAGCAATAATGGCTTCGCACCGCTGTCTGATGGAGTTAATGAGGCAATCGACATCTCTGATGGCCAGCGCATCCCATGCAGCCTCCAGAGCCACACCCAGATGCTGCAGTCCATGTGGCTGTGCATCCAGCTGCTCGATACTCCTCCCCATCATGTCCCAGACATGTTCTTGGGGATTCAAGTCTGGGGAATTCTCTGGCCAGTCCATGCGCTCGATCTCATGGTTCTCCAAGAACTGTGTCACCACCCTTGCTCGCTGGGAACGGGCATTATTATCCATGACAATGAAATTTCCCCCCGCATTTTCTGCGAATGGCAGTGTGATAGGTTCAAGGACTTCATCCCTGTATCTCACTCCTGTCATTGCCCTCCCTGGGACCACGCAGAGACGAGTACGGTTGCCAAAGGCGATGCCTCCAGCACCATGATGCTGCCTCCTCTATAAGGGTCATGTTCTGCAATACAGGGTTTGGCAAATCTCTCTCCTGCTCGCCTCAAGACTCTCACACGTCCATCATTGTGGTCGAGGGAGAATCTGCTCTCATCTGTGAACAGAACACCGCACCACTGCTGTTGGGTCCATCCAACATGCTCCTGAGCCCAGTTGAGACGGATTCTTCTGTGAGCAGAAGTAAGTCGGACAAACTGCACTGGCCTTCTGGCATGCATATTGGCTCTGTTAAGTCGATTACGGATTGTTTGAGTGGAAACAGTCACTCCAGTGGCAGCAGTGAAGTCATTATTGAGTTGAGGTGCACTGTGGAAGCAGTTGCGGAGGCAGAGATTCATCGAGTAGCGATCATCTTTTGGGATTGTTGTGGCTAATCAGCCACTGCAGGGTCTCTCTGAGTACAGCCCTGTCTCAAGGTGTCATTGGTTTGCTCTGCTGATGACACTGTGAGACACACCCATCATTTTGGCTACTCTTTGGTGACTGAAGCTAGCTTCCAGCATCCCTAGGGCTCTAGCAATCTCTGCTTCACTTTGGTGGCATCTTGGTGTTGCTGCTGTAAGCTGTCTGATTGTGGAGACCAATGACAGAAAATGCTCTTGTACCCACTTTTGTACCACTTCATGTGGTCAGCTGATACCCTAAAAGCCCACATTTCAGGATGTGCAATGATGCAAGAGACATTATGCAACAAGTGAAACCAACCACATGTGATATTGATTACGGTGTGTTTGAGGTCATTCAGGACAGTTGTATTGATTTATTTTCAGCAGCACAATAGCTCTTATCACAAAACGTATACGCAAAATAAAAAGTGGTCTTAAACTTTTTTTGAATAGTGTATTTTCGAGCAATTTGGTGACTTTAATTGCCCTTTTTTTTGCCTCTTTCATCCTATCTTTACTTGTTTGGTTCCCTGTTTCAACTCTTTACCCTCCTTGCAATGCCCATGCCCAGAAATCACTGTTTGCATTTCCAAATTACTTGACCGCGGCATGAAATTACACACCAGTCTGCAGTAGTGGCTGCAGCCACTTCCAACAGAGTTTGCGTAATTTCAAGCCGCAGCCAAGTGATTCTGATGCGGCCTTACTTCGGTAGACTTGGCCAGTGAGTCCTGCACTTGCTTGGAGATCTTGCGAAGGAATCTGCCGTAGATGACAGCGATGACGGCCACAGGGGGCACTATGCTGATGACAATGGTAGCCAGTTTGACTGAGGTGTAAAACTGTAAAAAGGCAGCAGAATGGGGGGAAGAAACGGGGGCATATTATTGACCTTAGTCACATGACAAAATTGACAAGTGTATTCAACTGTATGAAAGGCTTAAGATTACCCATCACACAAAGACACAAATCAGTCAAATTTATTCACATGAACCCTGCATAAAATTGATTTGTCAACAACAACCAAAAAAATCAACTGATTTATCAATAAACGAATAGATCAATTGGTGAATCAGCTCATCTATGTACCAACTGAAAAAGCAATTGATTGATGAAATAACCAATCAATCAGTCAATAGACTGATCACTTGTTCACAGATCCAAACAGATATCAGTCAGCTTCTTAAAATAAGTTTAAAAATATCAACAGACTGCAGGACAAACCAATAATAGTTTTCCCCTACACAACAGCCCCAGACAACTGAAGACCTGATTCTATTTTACCATCATGCCCACACCCCCTATGGCTTGGGCAAGGGCCCTCAATCCGTCTGAGATGTTGGTTGTCACTGCATTCCCAATGACAGTCGTGTCTGTGGACAGTCTATTCACGAGCTCCCCAGTCCGGGTCTTGTCAAAGAAGGCAATCTCTTGCTTCACGACAGAGTTGAAGATGGATTCCCGTAAACGTTTGATCACACGCTCCCCTAGGAAAAAAACAGGACATTCACAATTTGACATTTGCAATCAGCAATGGAGTAAAGCAGGGCTGCGTTCTGGCGCCAGTCCTGTTCAACATCTTTTTTACCCAAATGCTGTCCCATGCCGTCCGTGACCTGAAAAAGGGAGTTTCCATCCGTTATCATCTGGATGGTTCCCTCTTCAATCTCTGTCTCCTCACTGCCAAAACCAGGTGCCGCTACCACCTCTTTCAGGATGCACTGTTTGCCGATGACTGCGCACTGATGGCCCACACTGCCTCTGACCTGCAGCTCATGCTGGACCACTTCTCAGAGGCCTCTAAGCTGTTCGGCCTGACAATCAGTGCTCCACCAGCCTGCTCCTAACGACGACTCTCCTCCTCCATCGACGGCACCCAGCTCTCCAATGTCCAGAGTTTCAAGTATCTAGGCAGCACCATTTCAGACGATGGCTCCCTCGACAAGGAGATAGACACCCGCATCAGTAAAGCAAGTCAAGCACTAGGGAGGCACCGCAATAGAGTCCTGAACCAACACAACATTCACCTAATGACAAAACTCAAAGTCTACAACGCCGTGGTTCTCCCCTCTCTCCTCTATGGATGCGAATCTTGGACACCATATCGCAGGCACATTAAGAAGCTGGAGAACTTCCACATGTGTGCTCTCTGCTCCATCTTTGGCATCCAGTGGCAAGACCGCGTAACTAATCTGGAGGTCCTCGACTGTGCGAATTCTAACAGAATAGAATCAGTGCTCATCAAGGCCCAGTTGAGATGGGCAGGGCACGTTATTCGCATGGAGGAGCACCGCATGTCCAGATACCTAATGTATAGTGAACTGGCGTGTGGAAGACGTAAGCAGGGCAGGCCAAAAAGAGGTTTAAGGACTGTGTTAAATCCAACCTCCTGCTGTTCAATATACAACCAAAAGACCTAGAGTCCAATGCCAGCAACAGACCTCTCAAGGCCAGCTCCAGGTTTGAGGAAGCTCGTCGACAACGCCTGACCGTAGCGAGAGATAAATGCCACCATAAGCGAAACAGCCAGCCTAGGATGACGACTAGCTTCCAGTGCCCCTATTGTTCTAGACTCTGCGCATCCAACTTTGGTCTGCGCAGTCATCTCCGGGTTCATCGAGTTACAAAACGATGACGTCATCTTCGAATACAAAGGACCACCACCATACATTGGAAGGGCATCAAAACTTCTAGTGAGATGCGTCTGGTTAGGATCTAACTCCCTCAACTTCATAAACAACGGCCACAACTTGTCAAATTTGATGTGGCCTGTTTTTATGAAATGTACACAACCTATGTCAATGCCAAAGTTCATCACCTTTCGGTGCCTCCTCATGAAATTTACCCTGGATCATTGTTCACAGGTCCCCCCCTCAGAACCCTCTACTACAGTAAGTAAAAAAAATTGTTTTGCATACCCGACGTGTACATCAGATACACTCGGCCGAAGTTGGCGCCTGCTCCCAGCAGGAACACGGTGGACAGGATGCCGCACAGATACGTGAGGTTGGTCATCATGTCGCCGCTACCGACACCACTGTATGAGCCACTGTAGATGACATCGATGACCTTGCCCAAGGCAAAGGGCACGGACATGGTCACACCGCTCGAGAAGGCCAGCAGAACTATGGCCACTGATTGGTGGATATATAAAGAGAACAATGACACCAATTTGGGGATAACTGGTTATGTAACAAGTTAGTTGGGGTGCACTCTCATTGGGAAGAAGAGGCAAACCAGTGGAAAGTTTTCAATCATGTGTGTTTACCTATCTGACTCCCCCCACGCAAAGACTATGTTCAAACAAATTGGTGGCAAATGCACTGTAGCTTTTGTGTAGGTCCTACGCAAAATGTGCATGAATGTGTGCGCACATGCAATGAGTCTGAACCAAATGGCCGTCAAATTGTTGCTACAAGAACATGCACATTAGTTATTCATCGTTCAAACCTGCCCTCCGTTGATAACCTCTTAGGGTCTTGCTTTCTTGTCTAGTTTCTTGCTCATTCCTCCTTTGTCCAACAGTACTTCTGAAAGGGACCATGAGTCCTTCATGCACAAAACTGTAAGAGCCATCCAAGGTACCAGTTCTCTCCATCCAACATACAGTGAATACACATGATTATATGGCCATTTTTCAATACTTAACTTTGTCTCCGTCTAACACTTCTTCAGGTTTTTTTAACCACCCGATTTGAAGTTACCTCCATACCCAATAGTGAGTACGGGTAGAATAGTGCCAAAGGAATATCAAACCAGATGCAGAAGTGCAAAAGAGCAAAATATTACAGTAGGCCTAGGCCCTAGTTCAATTTAATTCGAATGCTTTAGGTCCACAATCAGGGATTGATTTTGGAGACAAAACCTGAAACAGAGACCAAGTCAAGTATTGGAAAATGGCCCAAGTGTGGTATTTGTTTAGACAGGTACATAACATTCTAGCATATAGCACCTTATGGGTTCTTACTAGAATATTTTACATGTAAGTAGAGAGCCCAACTTTTTAAGCCGTGGACAGGTTACCTACCACTTAATCGTGTTGCCTCCGGTTTAGCTAGAGACATCAGCCTGCTCATTTCAGACAGTTTAGGCACCATAGCTTTCGTCGTAAGCTCCTGTGTGGTAAGTGATGAGTCTAACCCCGATTTGTCTTCGGATGATGAATACGTCCTCCAAGAGCCCGCACAGATTGTGACGGGCAACTGTTTCGTTATACGGCTAGGCCTGCGTGTAAAATGCTGTGATAGCATTCTCGATAATGATGACGATTTAGAAAGCTTGACGGACTGGATTCCTCTGACACTGACAGCCTGCCATCTGGGCACACTTTGAACAAACATCCCATTCTGTAACAGTCTGACGATGCACCGCTTACCACGTGCACAGAGTAGAAGTGATGAGGCATACATTGTGACTCCTCAGGCCGGAGTAATGTTCGCTATTATTACTGTGTATTAGGCCCTATTGATAAATGTTGTTCTTCAAGTTCATTCAAGACTAAAGTTCAACAAATTCCAATCAATCATGCCAATGATCTGATGATGTAGGCTGACCCGGAAGGGTTACCGGTTCTTTTAAGTCTTCTTATCAGGTTGCGCTCCACTATTAATTTTTTTTTGTAGGCTAGCCCCGAAACTGCGAAAGCATGGAAAGTAGACACGGTAAAGACTACCGTCTGACCAACCACGGACGGACCAACTAAACTAACGTTAGGAGGGCCTTTGCCATGGCATCCGGCATGCTTGGCCCATGCTTGGCCTAGCAATTTGCAAGCAAGTACTACTACTATCGTAAAGTAACGGCCTGACGATACTTTAAGTACCTGTAGTACAAAAAATTACATGCTGTATACAACGGCATAACGTAACATTAGCGCTGGGTTTCATAAGACTTGGGTGCATGATCTAGTTAAGGCTATGAATGGCGCCACCAATAGGTACCCCAGAGCTGCGGGGGGGGAACCACCGCAGTACTATCTTTGGTAAACCACTGAAACTGCGTCATTATGAGCGACAAAAATGCACTATCCATTATGTTTTTCATTAATGTACCTGTACATAACGTTCGACTTTTATTCCCAAATTCATCCAAAGAGTTCGACTTAGCGCACTTGCATTTGCTATACAATTTCAGCAGTTGTTTCATCAAATTAAGTGTTTGATTTCGTCACACGATACTGAAATGCCGACCCCGTGTTATTTTGGAACCATCTTTTGCCACACAATTTAAAAATAAGTGTGTTCATTTTTGTAAAACTTCGTGTTGATATGTAGAAGACATAAGGGCGGCAGAAGAAGGAAACCCCCCACTTTTTGTTCCTTGTTATTCAAAAATGGCTTGTTTGTTTCTTGAATACACGTAAATTCGAATTTGCCTGTTGTGTGCTGACAGTTAGACACCGACCATAGACATGGCTACAAGTACAAACACTTTTTTACTCATTTTCCCCACACCGTTCAACCCATGACATATTTATTGAATTTGTTTAGAAATGTAACGCTACGCCGAGCTACATGTTTAGCTTTTCGAAATCCGCTTACCATTTCAGCGCATTCCTAAACACATTACACTAAACATGTCAAAAAGTTTGTGCAAAAATGTGTTTAAACTACGTTGTTTTTACAGTGTATACGTTTGGTTTTAATTCACAATTAATCCATTTGAGTATATTGAATATTGGCGTCGCCAGTTTTGCACATCATGCCCCCGGGCCCGACGTATTGAGAAAAAAATCCCTTTCTAACTGATGGATCCTCTCATTCGCAAATTTGTGCCTTTGGATCCCTCTGCCAAAAGCATCGCATTTGTATTACGCTGTACGCACATATGAATGACAATGCGAAAACTATTGGTGAAGTCGTCGGAGAAGTTGGAACTTGGTCGATAATGTTATTAATCTGTGACAGGTCATTTACATATAGCCCTTGCGCAGCGCCCTCGTTTGATAGCTACGCTTGTTCAACATTAGTTTATTGCCAGCTCTTTGTTCAGTGAGTCATTCACCCCACAGCGCTGGTACAGACAACACCACAGTAGTCCAAGATCTACCTCATGTTAGTTGCTGGCAGAAGTTTCATTTATAGCCTTTACACCTCGTGTTAGCCCTAGATTGACTGGGCTAGGGGGTTTTTCTTGTGGCGACACCATAATAAAGAACTGGAGTGAGATAATGCACACTATCCGTGTCGATCGTATCTTCTCACTGTTACAAATCTAAAACTAGAGCCACGCCCATGGATTTTGAAGATACAGACAAAACGTGAATCTAGTCTAGCACGAGTCACGCACTCAGGTAGGAAGCAGGTGAAACATGCCACGTGGATGTAGAACGTATGGAATGTTGCATATATTTACACAGACCGTTGTCAAGTGCCTTAGTTTGGCTTGGTTTTACGCACAATATCTTTGCGTCACGCAACCTTTGCGTCACCGCTATTTCTGAGGAGAAATCTCTTGTCTAGAGCTAGGTCTAGGTTTTTGCTCCATTGGAAATGCGTGGGGACACGTAGACAATAGGCCTAGCCGTAGCTCTGGAAGCCCGTTTCGGACACGGCCTTAGTTGCACTCATTGACTGGATAGGACATCGCGTACCGCGTATACATATTTTCGGGAGGGTAAATAACAAGCGTTGGGAATTTCGTTGCGTGTCCTTTAAAATGGAGTTTTTCAAAAACCGGTTGAGGTTTTTGTGCTTCAATCGTCAGATTTCGGAGAAAAACTGAATTCTGCACTTGGAGTGGATAAATTTGGAAAGAATAATGGTTGAGGTTTACGCAGCTGTGAATTACCGGAGAACAACGTCAAGTTCAATTTTTGGAAGAAGGAACAGAAGGAAATGTGAGTCGCACTTTCTTCAGTTTCAGAAAGTTTCTCAAGTTGTACTTTATAATGCTTAACTTTAAGCCTATATAGGTCTAGTAAGAAATTTATGACAGTCTATCTAGCCTATCAGGCTTTGTATATGAAACTTCACTATCTCGAAGTTGGGACTGTCTGAAATGTTACTTATTAGCAAAAGTGGTTTCAAAAACTGAATGCCTAATTTGTCGTTTATTTTACCCAGATTTCACTGGAAAAAATCTCCAAGACAGCTATGATTTGTGTTTGTCGGATATAAATACGCACTGAACACAAATCGTGTTACAGACGATGTGATACGAGTGACAGAATTCTTCTTCGGGGCAGAGATGAAACCAAAGTGAGAAGCAGAGTGCTGACGTTTCTGTTGAATGAAGTTACAAACATGTGAATTCAAAGTCAACTCAATGAAAGAAACTTTGTCTACGTAACAGAATTATTTTTAAAACTGACTTTGTATGTCGGAAAGTAGTTTTTAAATGTAAATCTTTAAGTCAGGTTGTGAACTCAACTTAATCTTTAAGTCAGGTTGTGAACTCAACTTTTCAAGCCGATTAACAAGTGTCTGTTTTAAAAACGGCAGGAAGTTAGTTTAGTCGCTCATTTAAAGCTGCGCTTACTTTGTGCTCACAGAAGAGATTCTCACACTTCTGTATACCGCATGTCGGTTTTCAATAAAATTTAGTCAATATATAAATGAATTTTATTTAGCACAGCTTTTCCTGAGAGTGTGTAAAATTAAAATCATTTTACTGATGATTTTTTCAGTGTTGGCTCATCGAAACCAGATCGAAAAACACATAGATAGTTTGGATATCATATTTACTGGCAAAACCTATTGCATGTCCTATTGGAATTCTCCAAGTTTTACACAGCGAACAAATCACGATTGAACCGACCCAAAATGAAAATATGTGACCCACTCTTTGAAAATGAGTCTTAAGTCACCAGAGCTACTTTGGAGAAAAAGGTCCTTCAGAATAATTTTGCAAAGTGTAAATCAAATAGGAACCTACAGCATTTTTCTCCATGGAGTACCACTTTCATCAGGGCGTCAACTGAGTGTTAAATTAAAAAAAAATCAATTTGCTCTTTCCAATACAAATAAAAACTCAAAAAGTGGCTTTGGCGACTTAACACTCATTTTTACAGAGAGGGTCACATATTGCTAAGGCGAGACCGTAGACAATAGGTGTAAAAAATGAATTAAAAACAAACCCACAAAAACACATTAACATTATTGCTTTCCAGTGGGTTAGTTAATTTAATAAGAAAATGGTCAGTTATTTCCTGAAATGATATTCTTGCATTTTCTTTTTATTTTTTGGCTTGTTTTTGGAGGGAGGCCGAGGGCTTAGCCATCATCCCATTGGAAAAAGATTTGGGGTTGACTAGAAATATACAGCATCACATTACCCTCCGGAGGCGCCGCCATTGTTCAGCCGCACATTTGTACACAAACAATGCGCGACGTCATAATCCAGTCTATAATGGAGATCAATGAGTTACACTACACTGAGTACGCGCCCATAGAAAACAGTGCAAACTTGGTGACTCTCTGACTTGGCCACTTGGTGACTCTCAAAAAGTTGGCCTTGCGTGTTTCACGGCCATCACTGGAAATTCAAGATCGTGACCAGAAGTTAAGATTCCTTTTAAATCTTAAAAGGGCTAGCCAAGCATATTTTTATTTGCCCTCCCCCAAAACACCCCAAACAGTAGATAAGCTATATGCGCTCAGCTCTGATTGTAGCCGCCCGCCCCTATGCAAAACAGGCCCATTCAAGTATGAGGTTTTGGAGTGGGCGTGAATCCCGGGAAAGGGGGTATATATCCCCCTACTTGTTTTAGGGGGGGCTGTGAATCACCCCTTTCATTGATGAGCCAAAAAATAAAGCGGACTACAAAGTATGTACAAGATTTCACGACTACAATGTTTGCAATATCACTAAAAAGGGAAAGCAAATTTGAAAAGCCATATGTATGCCATTCTGATGTAAGATACTTCGTGAATTTGGTACACTGATCACACACATACATCTTTATCATGAACATAGGCGCTATATAATGCATATGGTGTTGCCCCCCACTTTTCAAATATCCATGGCCGGCCATCCCCCCAATTTCCATCACAGATTTACGCCACTTGCAAGCTACAAAACCCAATTAAGTGATGCTTTATAGAAATATATCTATCACCCCTCCCCGATTTTGGCACCTCGCATTGTAAATACCCAGTGAAATCACAAAATATCATGAACTCACGTGTAGAAATCTTTAGCCACTTAGTGGAATGCAACCCTAACGCTCCAGTCTGGTTCCCTGACCAAAGATTCCATGACGACTCTTGATTAAATTAGGTCAGGTATCACCTGACGTTGTTACGTAGACTCCTGAAATGAGGAGCGTGTACATAAAGAGACCCCTAAATATTTTACAGTTAACAACTCCAGGTAAAACGTCCCCATCATGCGGCTTTGAATAGTATTCAATCATGCACAACCAGCATACAGTCACGTAATTGTATTTTAGGGCGGCTACCAGTGCTGGAGGCCCACTTTAAGTGAACCTGTCGTTTTCCAAACTCAACAGCGAGCTAAAGTTACACTGCGAACAATCAAACGTGGCTTTTCCCTAAAGTCATTTATCTCCAGGCTAAAAGTGCTATCACCCGATGCACATCATGATCAGTCGCAGTGGCACCACATGGCGCCATAGTATGAACCGCGGCGACGCAACACTTCCTCTTTTCCACACAACTGCTTCTCCTAAAATTTGGACAACAGTAAGAGTAAAATAAGTAAAATCTTGATAACTCATCAAGGTTGGTTAACTCGAAACTCCGTTTAACTCGAAGAATAATTCCCTCCGAAAGAATAGGCTTTTATGTACAAAAACATACCCGTAACGCGAACCGCTCACGTTGCCGGATTCGTTTACGTCGAAGATTTTGTGTAGCAGATCCAAAAGAAACCGCCGCCAAAATACTTCCAGAAAGTGTAAACAGAACGCGACTCTAGTTGTGAATCATTTCTGACACGCACACGTAC